GAGGGACATTTCTGCTTAGCCCCTCAAAATATGACATCACTTCCTGCAAGACATGGCATTCTCCATGAAACCTCACAGCTCTGTGTTCATAAAATCAATTGTTGGCATCCTCACAGCCCTGTGTAAACAAAATCAATTGTTGACATCCTTACATTCAAATGATAGCATTCCTCTCATGAAACAGTAGCAACAAAGAACTGTCCCACTGTCAGCAAGTCCACACAATCAGTGAAAACATAGCCACACAATCAGTCAAAACATAGCCACACAATCAGTCAAAACATAGTCACACAAACGGTCAAAGATTTACATAATAATTAATACTGTTGTCAGAAGGAAATAATGAGACACACGTCTTTGTAAGCACAGAGCCCGAATCAACATCTAAGACACATTTTAGTGAAGAGAAAATTAGAAAACAGAGAGAAGACTGTGTAAAACTGTTGAGAATCTCCTACTTTGTTATGATCAGTCTAGAGGGAAGTGTACTAGGTGAACACTGACTGTGATGAAAATATTTTATAACTGCACAAGGTACAAACTACAATTTAGTGTAATGGAGCATGTGTTTTTTGTTGTCCACCATTTTGTTCACTTGCTCGTACATTTGTGGTTGTGATTTAAGTAAGCATGTGATCCTTTATTCCTCATCAAATGAGAACACATTATTTATTTATTTTTAAAACGCAACAAGAAATCTGAGACACTTTGCTGCAGATCTTCTCAACATAAAATCATAGAGAGCATAAAGTGACGTCAACTCATACAGAAATCCACATACAACACCATCAAGGTAATGGGGACTGCTGCATAGTTCACACCAGGGGGGGGGTTTACATAATTTATGTTCAATTTACTCAAAATGTACAAAATAATCATTGGTATAAATAAGATTAAACTTGAAATAAGATTATAAATAAAATTAAAATATAAAAGGATTTTTAATAATATGGGGAAAAAATGGTTTGAAAAGGTGGGGAAAGAAAAGTTAAAAATGTGAAATGTTACTTGACTATTTTATATAGAACACTAAATAGGTGTGAGGATAGATACCAGTTGGTCTTGTACAAAAGCTGACTAGATTAAAAATTGAATGGGTAAAAAATGGGACAAGCAAAAAAATTGCAGAAGCAAAGCAAGTGTCGAAAATATCAAATAAATAATGGCAAACAATCACCAGGTGTTTTTTCTTCCTAATGAAGACAAAAACCCACTGGACATTAAATAATAAAATTTATCCAAAAAATGGTACGTGCCAGAATGTGCCAAAGTGTCCTCGTTTTATAGCCATTTTAATTGTTTCTATAAAATAGTAGTTACTATCCTAATGTCTCATTTTTATTTTACTTAGTTTACATGTTTTTAATAATTGTAAAGCGCTTAGAGCTTTAAGGTAAGCGCTATATAAAAATGCCTAAATAAATAAATAAATAAAT